GTGTCTGCCAGATCTTTCTGGAGGGATCGTGCAGTCAAACGTGGGTTTTGAATTGTTTTTCTCACAATCCTGCGAGCTGTTCTGTCTGATATTTTTCTTGGTCTTCCAGATCTTGCTTTAACTTCCACTGTTCCTGATGACTGCCATTTCTTAATTACATTCAGAACAGAGGATATTGACATCTGAAAACGCTTTGCTATCTTTTTATAGCCTTCTCCAGCTTTGTGAGCGTCAACTATTTTCAGTTTCAGTTTTCTAGACAACTGCTTAGAAGAACCCATGGTGCTGATTGTTGGGGCAAGGTCAGATGAGTCTGGACATTTAAAACCTTTGAGATTGACATCACCTGGTCTTCCCAGACGATGATTGAGAACAATCCATGACACTGGCAGGTCTCAGCTTAGCAAAGGGGGCAGTGCATGCTATAAATTCTGTAGGGTGCCCAAACTTTTGCAGACGCCATTTTTTTTGTTTTCTGTTATTTTGAAAGTGTAAATGATGGAAATAAAATCTAACTTTTGTTGATGTATTATAAGAATGTCTAATCTGTAATTTGATGCCTTTTGGAGATTTTTCCATCTTTCCTTGGCTTCTTTATGCACATTAATACACATTTTTAGCTGGGGTGCCCAAACTTTCGATCCCCACTGTATATGTGAGATAACAATAAGTGGTCTTGCCATGCAAGAACACTTAATAAATACATCTGCTTCTGGAAGACCACAGTTCATTACAGAGCATACCAAAGCAAACAACATCTAAAAGACCAAGAAGTTATGAAAACAAGTCCAGAGTGAAGTTCTAGAGAAGTATGCCACACTTTGGATATTCTCCATAGCAATGTAAACTTTAATAATAAATAAAAAAATATGGCTTAAGAGCAACTCTGTACTCTCCATAAGACCTGAACGTACACATGCTTACAGCATTTTGCATGCAATGTTAGTTTAACCAACATCGTACAAGAAGAAAATCTACTACCTGTAAAAAATAAATAAAAATAAATAAACAAGGAGCCTGCAGAGCATTTTGATTGGCTCAGCATGAAAAGAGCTTTTCTGGAGCATTTCAGTACCCGATAGTGCAACTGAAGCAAACAATCAACTATGGGTGGCAAGGCATGTCAAAAGATCTACGGGATAAGGTTGTGGACAGGCAGATGGATAAAAAAAAATTGAAAGGCTTTATCAATGCTTCAAAGCTCAATGAAGTCTGAAATTAAGAAGTGGAAGGTATCTGGTACAACACAGACCCTCCCTGGATCAGGACATCACTGAAAACTGGATGAAAGAGCCAGGAGGAAACTGGTTAGAGAGGCTACCAAAAGGCTTACAGCAACTCTGAAGCAGTTGCAGTAATTTATGACAAAGGGGTTATTGTGTGCATGTGAGAACAATAGCACAAAATCTCCAGAAATGTGGCTTTTTTTTCGTCTCCATCTCCTGACTTGTGCCTGTCCAAAACTTCACCCCGGAGATCTTTTGACAGTGCCTTGCCACCCATAGTTGATTGTATGCTTCAGTTGCACTATCAGGGACTGAAATGCTCCAGGAAAGGTTTTTTTCATGCTAAGCCAATCAAAATGACCACAGCTGATCACAGTTGAAAGTCAAATGGCTTGGTGTGCAATTGAGAAGGTGATTAGCTATACCTGATTGAGTTTATAAGTCATTTTTAGGAGAGGGGGGTCCTATTTTCAACTTGGTTATTCTGTTTTTTTAATTTTTTTTTTTAAATTTCTGACATGTTGGTGTTATATCTTTAACCTCTTGCTGACCGCAGATAGCCGAATGATGACTGCACTGCGGCCACTAAGTTCTGGGTGGACATCATATGACGTCCTCCCAAAACGCACTCTCCTGCACAACCCGGGGGGCGTGCATCTGGTGATCACTGTGTCCTATGGACAAAGCTGTTCACGTGATATGGTAGAAGGCCAATCACAGCGGCCTTTTACCACGTGATCAGCCGTGTCCAATGACACGCTGATCACCGAGAAATGCAATTGCCGGTTATCGGCTGCACTTTCCTCATGCTGTCACAGAGTGAGGAAAGTACTGCTGAGAACCGGCAGTTGTCAGAGGAGAAATCGGCACTGATGATCAGTGCCCTGATGATTGGTGCCCAGCAGTGCCACCCACCAGTGTTGCCCACAAGTGCCCATCAGTGTCACCCACCTGTGCCCAGCAGTACCCAGCAGTGCCACCCACCAATGCCACCCAGCAGTGCCATACATCAGTGCTGCCCAGCGGTGCCACCCAGCAGTGCCAGTCAGTGCCACCCAGCAGTGCCCCAGTCAGAGTTCAACAGTGCCGCCACTCAGTGCCCACCATCAGTGCCAGCTCAACAGTGCCACCTCATCAGTGCCACCTCATCAACGCACATCAGTAAAGGAGAAAAATTACCTGTCTGCAAAATGTTATAATAGAAAAAAGAAAAACTTTTTTTTTTCAAATTTTTTGCTCTTTTTTTTGTTTATAGCGCAAAAAATAAAACACCCAGCAGTGAGTAAATACCACCAAAAGAAAGTTCTATTTGTGTGAAAAAAAGATAAATTTTTCATATGGGTAAAGTGTTGCATGACTGCGCAATTGCCATTCAAAGTGCAACAGCGCTGAAAGCTGAAAATTGGCCTGGTAAGGAAGGAGGTATAAGTGCCTGGTAGGCAAGTGGTTAACTTGGATGTTATCAGTTGCACTTATTGTAAATACAGCTGGATAAAACAAAAAATATGTTGGTCTTCATTTCAGGCTGCAAAGCAACAAAATGTGATTATTTTGAAGAGAGGGGTGATTATGTTCTATACCTACTGTATTATATGTGTCTGGGAATTATGAATGTGTTTATAAATCAAGCCTTTATTGCTATTATTTTAACACTGAGGGGGAAATACCAGGTGATCCTAGCATTCCCTCTTCTATTGCAATTCAATCTGACTGTGTCAAACATGGAAGCAGATCTGTGCTGGCATGGTCAGTTTACGTGCTGTGAGACCTGCGTTGTGCGACAGAATGCTGTGCCTATGCACAATGTACCGATATGAAAAAAAAAGCAAAGCAAGAGTGGGCAGGGGGTGTGGCAGCCAAAAGGACTATGGGAGATACAGGTACGTTGTGCATAGGCACAGTATCCTATAACTCCAAGCAGAAAGGAAGAGCCAAGATTCTCACCCAAGTAATATATTTATCAGGGCTGCTTATAAGTTTAGCTAATGTCTGCTTCAATAAAATCTTAATCCTAAAGTTAGCTAAAATTACTTGTTTTTGCCTTCCCTGGGTCTTCCTCCCCCCTCCCCTCCCCCCACCTCATTAGAATGCTAATGACGTTTTTTAATAAAACCGGTTTTCACCACATACCTTATTTTAGACCCAGTGATGACATCACTGGGTCTCTTTCCTTTTTGGGGGGGGGGGGGGGGAATCCAGGCAGATCACCTGAAGAAAACATCAAAGCAACATAGCCCTGATGCAAAGCAGTGGACTGGTTCTTAGAAGGAACTATGCAAATATCAAACATGCTTTAATGGGTTGATGTCAGTCTGGACCGTGACGACGCCTTGTCGGAGGGTGAAATGCGTTGGCGTAACTTCCGGTTCCGACCCTGTACGTGTGACGTCACTTCCGGTGCGGTGTTCCGCGACCCTCTTTAGTGTGAGCAAAGAGGTCTGATTTTACAATTTTGCCAGTTCTTCATTGCCAAAACTGAGCAACTGTGTCTGCCTAGCTGGAATTGTCAGAGGAGCTACTGGAACATGTTTGATGAGTCCTGATTTATATACAAAAAGGCTTTTTATTCAGTTTGAAAATGTGAGTGCATTTGGAGCATCACTTGAGTATTAAATAGTTTTTAACTTTATTACGCTATTTTGGTAATTTTCTTTTGCATTTTTCCCATCCATCTATGAGAATGCATTCGGGGTAAATTAAGGAGGAACCATGAGCGAAGGCTTGAGAGTACCTAGCTGGTCATAAAGTACCCCTATCCATCCATCCGTCCATCCAGGAGTGAGAGCTTGGAGGAAGATAAGGGTGGATTACCATCTGTGATGTGGGACATCAAATGACCCTATGGAAATTGGGGCTTAATTACTTTATGTGAGTGTAAGGAAGGGTTTTTTTTTTTGCATTTTTAATAAAATATATATTTTTTATCAGTATATAGCAATATATCATTGGCATCTTTTTCTTTTAAATTTTTTCGCTATATGAGGAATATCTGGGAAGGAGAGTCAGTGTGAGATCGCATAAAGAGTTATATCATCTTTGAAGACACCACACCCCACCTGCAGGCTTGTCTTTTTTGCATCTTAAAGCCATACCAGTTTGGGAATTCACAGCATTTGGTGAGTGTGGGTCTATATAATGTTTTTCACAGAAGATGTGAGCAAGCTGGAAAATGTATAAAGTTTGAGTAAATAATAATTTTTTCAAATTTTTTGGGACATTGGAGTTTAATTTGGGACTTTTTCTTTAGATTTTCACATATAATTTTTCACAGTTTTGATAATTTGTATTATTTGCGCTGTATTATTTTTATTATTTTTTGATGTTTAGTCAATCCTTGAATAGCAGCATTTAATTTTTCACTTAATTTTTCACTTATTTCCTTGGCGCAAGTTTGATACATATTTTAAGACTGGAGTTCAGCTTTAATGCATGAACTCATTTATTGACATAAAGGTAAACATCCAAATTCAAGCAATCAGAACTCTTCATTTACTGATCTGGAAGCATGAGAATCTGATGAGGTTTCTGCCCTTCGTACATTGGCTGTGTCCTCTGCATGGTCTTTGAGATTCTGCTACTATTATTCAGCACACATCCTGCATTTATTAAATTTGCATCCTAAGCAAAAAAGTATTAATAGTCTGAGCTGTGCCTTTAGTCAGTAAATGTTATGTTGGTACTAGCCACCATTATTCCTTTTAGCACTGATATGGCCAACTGTTTACGGCAATCACAATATATTTTACAAATGGATGCTAGTGTAAAATGCTTTACCTGACCACGCTAGTTTCTTTAAACAGGTAAGAGCGCCGTTCAACCTAGAACACTCTTCTGTGCTGGCTCCATATCTCTTCATGGTCTCTTTCACTTTTAACTCATTCATCTCCAGTAAGGCATCTAGTGTTAAATCTTCAGGTAATTTCTGCAAAACAATAATAAAAAACAGGACGATAAACAACCTGTATGCCGTATGCTGTTCAATATCTATTGTCATACATTCCAATAATGACGAATGTAATCTTTGACTCCAGTCAAATAAAATACTGACTAACAATGAACAGCTCTTATTTGCTCCCGTTTGGTCTGTTAAATATACCCTTGAAAACATTTTGTTGTATCTGTTAGAATAAGTATTGATCCAGCCATAAATCTAGTAAGCTGATAATAATGCAGCAAAAGCAAAGAGCACACGCACTAATTTACCATTGTTTCTAGGTCTCTTTGTGGACTATAGAACACCTTCCCCCCATGCCGTGGAGGCAGGGAAAGAGGGAGGTATGCTGTAGTCCTAACAAACTTCTTGTCCTGGAGTGACAACACTGCTTCCCACTAAATGCTGGACATTGAGTGAGTATAGTCACCCTAGGACAGGAAGTATATTACTCGCAGGATCACTACCTGAAAATAAATTAAAAAAAAGCTCCCAATAAAAGAAAACTAAAGCAGTCACCCCCAGGGACTAGTAAGATGCAATAAATAAAAACGATGGCCTTGGGTTTATATTTTATTAATACCTAGATTTAGAAAATTTGGCTTGCAATTGACAAGGAATCTAGTACATAGAGGCGTACGGTTCAATATTGAGTTGGCCCACCCTTTGCAGCTATAACAGCTTCAACTCCTCTGGGAAGACTGTCCACAAGGTTTAGGAGTGTGTCTATGGGAATGTTTGACCATTCTTCCAGAAGCACATTTTGAGGTCAGGCACTGATGTTGGAGGAGAAGGCCTGGCTCGCAGTCTCCGCTCTAATTCATCCCAAAGGTGTTCTATCGGGTTGAGGTCAGGGCTCTGCGAAGGCCAGTCAAGTTCCTCCACCCCAAACTCGCTCATCCATGTCTTTATGGACCTTACTTTGCGCACTTACTTTGTGCAGTCATGTTGGAACAGGAAGGGGCTGTCCCTAAACTGTTCCCACAAAGTTGGGAGCATGAAAATGTCCAAAGTAAGTAGAATAAGTAAAGTAGCTGTATTTAATATGAATCCATAAACCTGTAAGTAAGGGGTATATTGCCTCTGCAGATTATGGAGTGGTTCCATTGCTAGAAGACTGCACAAAACATTGGCATGAGGCTACCAGTGATAAACATGTATGTATATGTATTTGCTTTTGTTTGTGTGTTTATAGTGCTTCCACATTAAAGAGTTATTTGATCAGGCTGAACTAGATACAAAGGTAATCTTTCTTGCTATACTTTAAGATGGAAAAACTACTGGGGAGTATTTTTTCCTTTGCACAGATACAGAGAAGAATAAATAGAAATGCACAGGAACAAATGAAGGAGTCAGGATTTCACAGACAGGCGCGTGTGTGCTGTGGGTGGAAGGCTGCTCCCTTCTGCCCATCATACTTGTTTACAATGCCTGGCTATTTTTGCCTTGAAGAACTACTAGACAGCAGCTGTGCAACTCCTCCGACTTGTTTGCATGTTGCTCGACCCCAGCATTGGCCTCAACTGTGTTCTACCAGAAGTTTCCAAATCTCTAACAGCAGCAGTGCCAGGGACTGCATACATCAGCTATAAATGGCGAAGGATGAACAAAAACACAATATGCATATCATGTTTATGAAGCTAAAAGGAAATGTGTTCATACACTGAGGGGACTGATATTTTTATTATGAATATTATTACTATTAATATTTTTCAAAATGTATTATTATTGTCAATTGAGAATTATGAATAGAGAATTTTGTACAAATTACCAGCATCTGCTAGTGACATATTAGTGATAGTCCTAGTGATATTCCTCTGCCCATTTGAACAGGTTGATATAAGTAGTTTATCTCCCTTACCCGTTAAACTTGAGCTTGTTTGGCTCTACATCTCCTATGGATCACAGGAGTGCAGTTCATTCTGCACTCCTGTGACTCCTTTTCAGCTGACAGTGGGCTGAAGCCCGCTGTCGACTGATGTCACTCAGCCAGTCCAGGCTGGGGAAAGAGCCCAACTTAAAGTCGGGATCCACTCAGATCCCTGGACCGGCAGCTTGCTCAGCCCCTCAGCCATTGAGAGCCTGAGCCAGCAGCTCCATCCCCCTCCACAGCCTGGCACTCCAGTGAGTACTGGGGGGGGGCAGAGCAGACAGCCAGTGACTGACAGTCACCGCTCTCTGCTCAGTGAAGGCTGAGAACTGAGTGATCAGTGATGTTTAATCAATCAATTCTCAGTCTTCGAAGCGGCGGGGGACAGATGCAGCATAAGACCAATGCTGCAGCCACCTAAGCGAGTATGATTTTAGAAAAAAAAAATAACCCATACTTCTCTTTCAAATAAAAACCTCCCACATCAGGAGTAAAAATATGGTAATTTAAGAAAAAACTCTTTATTCTCTGCTTTACTAGCATGTGGTTTAATCATCTCAAAGTTTCCAAAGCTCACCAGTTTATTTACTTGAAATCAAGGAATCTCAGAGAAATAATATAGTAACTGCAAGACTGGAGTCCACAGACACTCGAGGAAATTCAATAAATCCTTAACACTGTTCTGGTGCTATTGCACTTTAAAATACCCTGTACTAGATTAAAAAATCGTTGCCTCTATCAGTTGTTTTACTGACTCCTGAGGTAGATTCAGGTACTTCTTAATAGCACCACGTTTACAAAATGGTGCTATTAATGCACCATAATTAAACATAATTACCTTCAGTTCCTAGATAATGAAATTGGAGGCCAATAAGACCAACTATAAGTTGGCATAGAGATAGTCACAGAGTGCTTGCCTCTGTATGCTGTGTAGCATAGCAGCATAATTAAGCCTGCTGAGGGCTTTGTCCTTTCCTGCAGAAGTGGGAACGAGACTTAGACAAACCCTTTACCAGTAAACAGAGAGAAAAAGTCCTGTTCTTTGCTCACCATTCCTCCATCTCAACTAGATATCAAGAGGCGGGCTATAAAATAATGACATGCTGGTACAGACTGCCCACCCTCCTACATAGGATTTTTCCATCGGTTTCCCCTGTGTTGGTGTTGCCATCAGGAGCATGGCTCTTTGATAAAAATCTTTTGGTCATGCCGTCTAATACGCCCTTTTTAGGATTTGGTTCTGAATCAGACCTAAAAACTTACAGCTATTTCTTTGGTGGATCGTCCAATGAAATGTTTACTCCACCTTACACGACTCTCGACGTGTAGATATAAAAAATCACTACTGATCCACCTGCTCAATGCCGCTAAGGTCTGCATCCCGCAAACATGGAGAAGTCAGAACACCCCTGACAGTTGGCCAGTGGATCTGTGGTAAATGAGATCAATGAGATGGATCGCCTAACAGCAGCTATGAAATGTAATGATGACCAATTATATACAACATGGTATTGCTGGCACGATTTCCATTATTCACAGGGCTATAATACATACATGTAAGCTCCAAGGAGCAGGGCCCTCGAACCCTCGTGTATCGCATTGTATTGTTATTGTACTGTCGCATGTTCTGTCTCCCATTGTAATGTACAGCGCTGAGTGAACTGTTGGCGCTTTATAAATACTGTATAATATTAATATCTACTCTGGCCACTCAGACGGCATATCCTGTGTAGAAGGTACTTTTCAAATGATCAGCATCACAGACCCCTGCTACCTTACAGGCGTCCCGCACCACAGATCTCAGCTTCACTTGCTTCCCTTGTTTTTTTCCCCCACTGTTTCCAGACTTATTATGTTCTAGGCTTCTCGCCAGTCTTCACTTGACCTGGAGCACGCATTAGAATTTTGGAAAACTAGTACTTTTAGCATGGTTACATTTTCTGAGGCCCTAGTAACATCTGAGATCCGTGGGCCAAAAGGCCCCTACGTGTTCTGAAGTTAAATTTGTCTATGTCCATGAGCAATTTTCAAAATTTCCATAGGGATCACGACATAGAGGAATCTGTGTATGCCTGTAATCTCTTTGTTCCTGTTGTATTTTCTTTGGAAGCTGACTTACTGTACAATAATGTTTATGAAATGCTGAAGGAGGAAATAAAACTTATAAATTAAAAATAAAAAAAGTGAAGCCCCTTAGTAAGGATGGAAAGTATTAGCTTTTCCACCAACAATTGGACGCCATCAGGTTAGATTTCTAGCCAATGTGGCTGTTGCCTGCAGAAATAGCAAGAAAGCTCAAAGAAGCACTAGGCTGTAGCAGTCTGGGAGTAAAGGTAAGGTAAGTATGTTCTACATTTCTAAGAAACAAATCATCTTGAGCAGAAAAGTTTGGGAAAAAAGAACATTTGCAAAGAGGAGTGTTTTTGCCAAAAAAAGCAAGAAATCTGGCATCTAAACAATGAGGTCTGAATACGACGAGCAGCCAAATGTGTAGGCAGATTCTGAAACAGTTGGGAGAACGGTACTAATTTTTCAGTACATGTATAGTGTTAAATGAATAACTTGAATCAGTCATTAGATTACATAAGAAGTATTTGCATTTTCATTGAAGATTTTCATTAAAATTCACATAATAAAAAGATGACATGAGGCGCACTTAAAACCCATACTCACTACACAATACATTTGTAAGCCAAATAAATTGGATGTGGAAACTGTCCCAAAAGTCCAAGTTATCAAAGAGTGGAAATTTTGTTGTCCTTCCATTTACATCTGTACATGATACTTTTTTTTTTTTTTTTAAGTTGAACTCCAGGTAGCATTAAAAACACAAAATTGCAGCTCTTTAGTATATTTTAAATGCACTTGCAATGTATTTATAAAACCAAGTATGTTAAGTATCTAAAATTAACTTGGTATCAGTAGCATGCAGTACTCTACAAAGCAGAGCTTAGACTGTGAGAGGGAAAAGCTGAACAAAGAGTCACAAAGTTGAAGTACTAACAAGGGACATACTGACAGGCGTTGAGAGCAGAGTTCATTAGTGTGCTGCTTTTACTCAACTGTGCAGCCTTATTCTGGCGAAGGGGCAAGACCTGTAAGTATTACTCAACTACTGCATAG